GATAGATTTTGATTGTTTCTTCTTTTTGACTAGACCCAAAATTATAGGGGGCTGAAAGATATCAAACTAAAGTACTGGTTAACTTTGTATTACCTATAAAAAATTTTGGCTGCATCTAAAAGATAGCGTGAAGTATGTTGTCTCTGGACCTCCCACGCAACGCCGTTGTCCGTTCATAAAGGATTTTGTTCAGCACAAACATACCGGTAGTGCACCTGGAAACATCGCCTCTCCGCGATACCTAACTCGGGCAGACGGAGCACCGTAGTAGCGAGGTCAGAAAACACTATGCTATTGCGCGACAATCAGAAGCCTTTGCGCTCTTGGCATAGTAGTAACATTGTGTAAAAATTTAATTTATATCCGAGCGGCACTTCTCAAGTTATAAGCGGTTATAAGATTAGCGGACAGACCCACCGACAGACACTCGGAAATGGGTCACGTGGTTTTTCGTGTCTGTATACCTATGTCACATAACATTCAAAAAACAATATCTAATTTTCGAAAATTTTCGTGATTACAATACTTCCTCGCCAGTAGGCGTGGGAAGTAAAATATACACTTGAGCGAATTTCCGACATCAAAGTTTATTGACGCTTTGTTGTTACATTGAAAAAAAAACGAGTGGAAATAGAAAATCACATAAGCTCATACATAATTGGCAAATTCTAGCTATACAGGGTGTAAACGTTATGGTAGTCATTATTGAAAAGGGTAATACGGGGGGGGGTCAAAACAAGTCAAAAAGATCATATGACCCATGGTCCAAAGTCCATATATTCCACAATCACCACAATCTTACTAATTTTTATAATCTAATCTAAAACGTTTTTAAATTGGATAATTAACAAACAAATGGCATTAAGTTTTTCTAAGTTAAGCCAAAATTTGTAGTCAGTGAGTTTCATTAAATTGGATATTTAAAACACAAATGAAAACAGCGCGTCCGTTTTTCATCACTCTTATCGAACCGGCAATCGATCGCAAACGATAACAGTGGTTAGTATGTTGTTTTGTTTTTGTTCGCGTATGTCGTCGTGTTTATTTACAATGTTCTCGAATCAAGAGTTCGCTGACATGTTGTTAATTTACGGTGAAGCTCATCAGAATTCAAATCTTGCAGCTCAAATTCATCGCGTCAGATTTCGCCAATGGGTACACCCAGACAGAAGGACATTTGTGCAAGTGTACCAAAGACTCCGAGATCCAGGAAGTGTTCAGCCCACTAATATTCTCACTCGTGAAAGAGAGGAGGAACAAATTTTAAATATCGTGGAAATCAATGCAGATATCAGCACTCGGGAATTAGGCCGCCGCGTTAGACTATCGCATACCATAGTCTATAGAATCCTACGGGAAAATTTGCTTTATCCCTACCATGTACAACGAGTCCAGGCCTTGTTACCAGAAGACTATCCTCGCAGATTAACATTCTGTCAGTGGTTTTTGCACAAAAACATTGAAATTCCGGATTTTTTTTAAAAACATTCTAGCGACGGACGAATGTACTTTTACGCTTGACGGGATATTAAATTTCCATAATACTCACACGTGGGCCCAAGAAAATCCTCAAACTATTCGTGAAGGTCATTTCCAACAACGTTTTAAAATAAATATTTGGACGGGTATTCTTGACGATCAGGTAATTGGCCCTTTCGAGTTACCCCCAAAGTTGTCAGGAGAAGGATACCTTAGCTTTCTAGCCAATAACCTACCAGAAGTTTTGGAACAGACCTTAGACAACATGGCCAGCAAGATCTCCTGACCTCAATCCGATGGATTTCTGGTATTGTGGAGAACTTAAAGGGATGGTTTATGGGGCTGGTCCAATAACAACTGAAGCACAACTTCGCGAAAAAAAATTTGATGCGGCTGAAATAATAAATGGACAACTTCGGGGTCCTAGAGTAAGAAGAAACTGGGTTCGTCGTAATGAAGCTTGTGTCGAAAGTGGAGGACGAGATTCGGAACACCTTCTTTAAATACAAAAAAGTGCCGTGTCGGTTTTAAAAAGAAAGACAATGTATGTATCAAAATTGTGTTCCCTATTTATAAGTGGATTTTTTTTAATACGTTCAATAAACTTTCACACACCGAGTGAAACGCTGAGACAGTTAATGTTTTTTTAATTGTTTGCATTTTACGAGTACATTATCAAATAATGAAATAATACCTAAGAACCAAAAATAGCAAACTCCATCTTTATTTACACTGCGGCGTTGTCAGATTTTATTTTACTTTAAGTCGCTTTGCTTCTTTTAACTCCCTCTATCACCCATTTAAATAATGACTATCATAACATTTACACCCTGTATAAAAGCAATAACGTAATATACGACTAAGCATGGAACTAAAGGACACTAACAAGGAAAACTATAATCAACTAGTTATAATTTCCTCCATCTCCTGATATTTTAAGACGTCTGTTTTCAGATCCTGTTTAGCAGGTAATAATTATTGTATCTTACATACTTTTCTTCATTCTGCATGTGTTGATAGCGAAATTAAGTCGCTTAATAATGTTAATATCAATCAATCATGACATTAATGTGCCACGCGATTCTACATGATTTAACTTAATCGATAGATATGCATTTATATTAATTTACTTTCATGAAAGCTGCAAAACGCGGAAGACTAAAATTTCATAACAACTGCTATAGAGTATACTAGATATAATTTGTAAAATAAATGTAAAATGTGATGTTTTGCTTTTATTTTAGAAACTATGAACGGAGTTGGGTGCGCTAAATTGAAAAATACATATTTATATAAATTGTTACCCGTTTTAGAGCTTACATTCTGATACCTGGCTATTACTATCTTCAGGAGGCTCGATTTTATAATTCTTCATTAGTTAGGAGAATGTTAAGGACAGGAACTTGTTAAAGAAACTCCAGAATGTCCATTTGACCCAATTTTTATGATTTTCCGGTTTGGATCAATAATTTACCAAGCAATCGAAACGTCTTTTTGGCTTTTAGACCACCTAAACGTTTGATTTTGAAAGGTATGTTCTAAGGGTTTTCATTTCTTACTATGAAGAAGGAGCTAGAACTACATTCCAAGGTTCAAATAGTTTCTAGCCAGACGAAATAGGCATGTCTACGTCTTATCGTTACAGTGCGAACCTACACTGTCAGATTTGAACCTTCAGATGGGGGGTAATTACCCCTCCCCTGACGACTTGAGCAGTCTTTGAAAAGGTGGAATAAAGTAATGGGATTTGTGGATTGCTACTCAAATTTTGATGAAGATACAATGGAGCCCAAACTCACAGGTCAAATTCTTGCTCAAACAGTCAAGCATTTCATTAAAACCAATAACTTAGACTCAAAACTATGTGTGGGCATTGGAACTGATACGTGTAATCTAATGTTAGGTGAACAAAAGGGCGCTGTAATGGAATTGTAAAAATGTTTGCCAAATGCTCTAAAAAGCCCATGCGCAAATCATGCCTTGAATCTTTCGATTTCAAAAAGCAGCAGTATCCAAGCAGTAAGAAATACAGTAAGAAAGTAATTGCGTTCTTAAAAGCATCGGCTAAAAGAAATACAGTATTAAACAGGAAACTAGTTGGATATCAAATTCATAGTATGTGCGAAACACGATGGACCGAGAAACATGATCATGTGCTTCAATTTGAATGCAAATTCGAGAAAATTGTAGAGGTACTAAATATTATATCAAACTGGAAAGACTGTGAAGCTTCTTCAAAAACGGAGTCTTTGAAGACTGCCATTACTTTCACCCAATTTATCGTATCACTAAAGTGTTTGTGTGATATATTAGCTTTAAAAGTCAACTTGAGTAAGATTTCACAATCAAAAACAATTGATAAACAATACGCTGTTAAACTCATAGGAAATATTATTTCAGTTGTACAAAAAAAACGCACAAATTCGCATCTATAATGAAATCACATGAATCCCTGTGAGTATTGAACTAACTGTGCCAAGAATACCAAGCAGGCAAATGAACAGACCGAACATAGTTACGTCTGACAAGGAAAATCATTACAGACTGAACCTATATGTCCCTTTGCTAATAATATATTACAGGATTTGGTATACCGGTTCAATTGAGAATCTTTGAATATACTATACAATTTTAATATTTTCTTTCCGTCAGTATATAATTCAAAAACTGAAGCTGAAGTAATGGACATATCAGAAACAATCTCTAAATATTTGCATGGACTAAACCAGAGTTCCTCAAACTTTTTTGTGTCGTAGACCCCTTGCCATGTTTTTCCGTGTTGGGTAGACCCCTACTTACCTGATATTGATTTCCTGTAAATTTCTAACTGTAGTGAAGTTTAGTGTTAAAAACTTAATGTAAAAACACATGTTAATTTATACATTTATTAATTGAATTTAAATTAAAACTACTCAAAATAAAATTTTGTATCTGTTATGTAAAATATACGTAACATTAAATAAACAGGTGTCTGACCAATAAGTACACGCATTGGGAATAAGTTCCCGCATTGAAAAAAAAAAATAAGAGGGATAAAATAAAAAAAAAGTGAAAAATAATAAAAAAAAGTTTTTTACTTAAAATAGTACAATAAGCGAGTTCGTTTATTAATTATAACATAAACGTATGTTCTACAATAATTTCACTGTTAGTTTGATTAAATTCTGCTTCTTTACGTTTAAGTTATCTAAAAATAGGCAAAAAATTAACGAATTTTAGTGTGTACCTATCCTTGAATTTTCAGAATAATTTAAAAAAAAATATTTTCTATAAAGGGGAAAGGGGGGTTCTTTAAAAAAATCAATGCGTGCACTTATTCCCAATGCGGGCATTTATTGGTCAGACACCAATAAACATTAAATAAACTATAAATAAAAAAACATAAGCAATAAGTCAATATTTTTAGTGAGAAGGATGAACCTGATGCTTTAATAATAAATTATCAACATTTGGCGTCAATTTTGTAAGGGTTAATCTTAAATCCCCTCGGCTAATGATGTCCAGTCTGTTTCTTTTTTTCGTTAGGAGATTGGTAACAGCGCTGAACCCGCTTTTTCCACTAGGTATGACGATGGAAAGGAAATTAAAAATTTCCTTGCTATATTCCATAATACGGGATAAGTAACGGGTATGTTGTTTTGCAGCCAGAATTGCTGATATCTGTTTTTAAACTGAACCTTAAGTTCTTCGTTTGTACTTAGTTCAGTCAGTTTCTCTTGTATTATGACATTCGTTTCTTCTATGTCACCATATGGATTAATTATCCACGGTGGTATTACCATAGTCAAAATATCCTCAAACCTAAATTCAAAATCTGAATAGAAGGCATTTAAATGTTGAATGTAAGTTGAAACGTCGTCTTCCTGGCAGCTTGTCTGTGACAAATTGGGGAACTGAGAAAATTCGCCCCATCCAATATTTTGCTTCATTAGTTTAACTCTGGCAAGAAACGCTGATAAGATGGACTTTGTTTTAATCAAATTTAAACTGTCGCCTTGTAATTCCAAATTAACCATATTAAATTTTGTAAACAAATCTGTTAAATAGGCGATGTCTGTTTTCCTCTTAATTAAATTTTCTTTTAAAATTAGTATCCAGAAATTCTAAAATAGTCTCAAAAAGTGCAAAAAATCTTGTCAAACATAAGCCTTTCGGCAGCCAGCGTACTTCAGTGTGAAGGAGTAATTGATGAAAGTGTTCGTCATTTTCTTCACACAACTGCGTAAATAACCGCGTATTCAACGCGTTGCTTCGGATTCGGTTTACTGCATCAATGACTAAATGAAGTGATCCATGCAATCTAACACTCAAATTTTTAGCAACTAAATGTTGTCGATGGATGACGCAATGTATTGCTAACACCCCTGACACATTTTGTTTTAAATAGCTTATAAATCCACGATAACGTCCAACCATGGCAGGTGCTCCATCTGTAGCTACTGATATTATATTTGATAAAGGAATTGCTTTTTCAATGAAGTAATCCTTCAAAACATGAAATATTGATTCACCTTTAGTGTCGGTTATTTAAGTTCTTGCGAGCAGTTCTTCGTAGATTTCTTGATTCATAATAAAACGAACATATGCCAATAATAACGCTGCATTATCAGGTAAAGTTGACTCGTCCAGTTGTATAGAGAAATGGGTCGTTTGCAAATAATTACGTAAGAAGCTTTCAATATCAGAACTCATTTTATCAATACGTCTTTCAACAGTATTGTTGCTTAAGGGAATTTTTTTAATGATATCAGATGCAGGTTTGTGTAAAACAGTTTTTAAAACCTCTTCAACGGCTGGCAAAATTAACTTCTCTCCGATAGTATGCGGTTTTCCGGATTTTGCTATAAGTAACGAGATATTATAAGACGCCTGCCAACCATCATCATTTCTTTGTGACGTCGAAGCCAACATTCTGTCCAGTGTAGGTCTCTTCTGAAATTTATTTTTGAGTGTTTGAAAGTATTTCAAATCTTTCTCTGTTTTATCAGGGTGGCATCTTCTCAGATGATCTTGCAGTTTAGATGGTTTCATAGCGTCATTGCCCAAAACTTTGTTGCATAAAAGGCACATAGGCGATTGTTTGTCCGGCAATGATGGAATGAAGCCAAATTTCAAATAATCAACACTGTACTGTCTACATTTCTTTTTAGATTCGGACATGGCATCAGTCATCTGTTGGCAAAATTAAATTATTTAAATAAGACAGAAAATCCAGCAGCTGTATGTTAAAAATATTTTTTGATTGTTCCGAAAACATTCCTTAATTCGAACATCTTGCAACACTTAGCCCGAATTACGGAGATTGCACTGTAATTATATTACCGATTGCTAAAACTTTCAAAAAGAAACTATTGAGGAGTACTCGTGTAATTTTGCATGATTGAATATTTAACTACTAATAACTAAAGTCATGATTGGCGTAATTTATCTATCTTTGCTAACTACGAGTACAAAACTAAAATTTAATAAAAAATAATGTACTTACTTTTCTCCAGCACTCTCAAACCAAATAACACTGACTCACTATAATTTGTGTGATATACTATCTGTTTATATTTTTTTAAATATTTTCTTAGCACTTTCCTTTTCAAGATTCAGGAAATGAATTAACGTATTTGTCCCACATTCGAGTGACGAATTGAACAAGTCAGTGCAAGGTAGCGAAGCTCTGAGACTGCGACTCTCAGGTTTTACAAGTTCAAAATGTATTGCGACCACAAAGCGAATACCAACATCCTACAACTTACACAATTTTATAAACATATATAATAATTTTTTTACTTCATAGGTACTTTTATAAATAATGTATATGATGTTTTGATATTATAAGATAGTATGATGTAAGCAAATAGGTACTATCAGTGTATGTATTGAGATCCACTATCGTGGACCCCCATATTCATTTTATGGACCCCCAAATTTTTTTTCGCTGACGTAGACCCCTTGCAGGTTGTCATAGACCCCTAGGGGTGGATATAGACCACTTTGGGAATCAATGGACTAAACAGTAACGAAAACAAAAATTTAATAAGTACCAGATTAAAAACAGAATTTGACCTTTGGAAGTCAGGTACACAAGATATTATAGACAGTGGAATGTCACTCTGTTTATCATGAAAATTGTTCCTTCAATTAAAAGATGCCTACAATTATTGATTTCATTGCCGGTAACTGTTGCGACATCTGAAAGAAGTTTCTCCCATCTAAAGAGGATAAAAACTTGGCTGCGCTCCACTATGTTACAAGAGCGATTAGTGGGTTTAGCTCTTTTGTATATGCATAGGGATATTGAAATAGACGTGAATACAATCATAGATGGGTTCGCCAGCAAAAAGAATGGATAGGCGCCTTGATTTTGTAATATGATAACACCTGAACTTTGCCTAAGGTTGTCTTTCAAATCCATCTCCCTTCTGATCAGTTAAGGGTAGTTAAGGGTTTACCTACGTTTAGACCACCACGGTGTTCAAATAAATTTCTAAGCTAATGTAATGATTGTTTTATTTTGAGATTGTGATGTAGTTTCATAGTTTATATGTTTTTGTTTTTCGAGACTGTAGTTATGCTAATGAATATTTTTTGTGTTTTTCTCTTGATTAAGAATTTTATTTTGATTTACATTCAGTTTTATACTATATAGTAGTCGTAACATAATTGTTATTGTTATTTTTTATCATGAAGATGTATTTTTTGCTGTTTTGTCTGACACTGTTATGTAGAAAAGTCTGTGATAGATTATATTATTTTCCATTTTTGTTTTAATATATGAAGATTGCTTGACCTTGGTTTGCTTTATTTATACTTTGATTTCGTATGATTCAAAATTTTAGAAAAATTGTATGTATTTTCTACAGAAATTACTGTAACAAATTCATATGTCTGCATAAGTCCATGCTTTTAATGTTTTATCTTTATAACACTTCAGTACGTCACACTGAGAATTTACTTTCTATTTTACCCTTCCCAGACTGAAATCCTGGGAGCGCCACTGAATTAACCTATCTCCTCCCATATCGAGCTATGTAGTTTTTGTTACCATAGGAATTCTCAGCCAAGAACGTGACGAACCTGTGAATGAGCTTTTATTTTTTCGACGCCCCGTGGTGCTGTTCGTTTACCCAAAAAGGTTCTTGTTTGTTTTTTAATTATATATTATCAGATGAAGAGTGGCAGGTTTAAGTGGCTGACTTGCTACTTCATGATCCTTTGTCGGGCGCTATTAAATCAATATGTAAGTGATGGTGGATTTCCTCGTTAAAATACCTGCCATTGAATAATTGCACCTTGTACCATAAAATAGTAGATGCTACCTTTTGATATAGAGATTGGCTGTTGATAGATGTATGTCGATTTTAGAGAGAAATAATATGACATCTTCACAGAACATATCAATTACTTTACTGAACGCCGTCAAGAGACAGCAAAGTGTTGTAATGGAAATTGCGTCAAGTAGGTTGAATCTGCACTTTCCATGCAACGCGATGCAATGAAGGATTATGTTCGGCACAACTCAGTCGAACATACCCATGCAATTAGTCTATTTTCCGCACCCATTTGACAACATTGCACTTTAGAAACTTCTCTCCTACCCTACCGACAGTATCGACCATCTGGCAACGTTGCCTTGGACGCCCGCAGTGGAGTGCTAGGGGGAAGATGACCCTCCCTGGATGCTGGACCTTTTTTGTACAGTTTTGGAGATTTTAAGGATTTGGAGTTACGAGTACTTGCTTAAAAAACGCTTTGTAAGGATGAGCATTTGTTGTTCATAATTTCATAAATACAAGAGAAAAGCACCTCAGGCCTATATGGTCCATATGTACATACACAAACTCCCACTGCGTGTTGGTAATTCTGAGGTTGGTGTTCAAGAACATGAATTATATTGGTGATAACTATTCCGATCGAGTAGTATTCGTATCTGTGGTTATATACACGTAACCACATACTGATCTTGATCTTGCAAAGATTCGCGGTAAAGAGGTAACTGTATTTGATGTATGGGCTTGCAAATTGGCATAGTCGCGGATGCACAGACTCGTTATGGCCTTTTTTGCTCATTATTTATAAGCAACCGCGCGAATTGGTTCAATAAGGTGTAAGGCCAATTTACACCAACAGTAAAGATGGTTATCAGGATGGTCTGGAGTTCTTTTAAATTAGAATGATGGTTTAATTTGACACATTTGCTCACATACGAATGTTGAAAAATAAAAACTAAAAATGCAGGGAGATTTCCAGGTAACTTGAAAAGGTAGAGAGAGAAGGGCCCGAGGTTCTCAGAGGGCCCAATGCTCAGACTGGATCACATTGCAGATTTTTTTAGACATGCAAAAAGCTAAGGTGCACACTATTTGACCATTTTCCCCTATATTAGAGTATATAATTAACATAGTGTTAAATTCTGCTTTACAGGGTGTAAACGTTATGATAGTCATTATTTAAATGGGTGATAGAGGGGGTTAAAAGAAGCAAAAAGTTTCATATAACATAGGGGTCAAAACGGCATTTTTTTAGAGAAAAGCGACTTTAAAGTAAAATTAAATCTGACAACGCCGCAATGCCAGACGCAAATTACGACGGAACGCAGTGTAAATAAAGATGGAGTTTGTTATTTTTGGCTGTTAGGTATTATTTCATTATTTAATAATGTACTCGTAATATGCAAACAATTAAAAAAACGGACTTACCACTAACTCTCAGCGCTTCACCTGGTGTGTGAAAGTTTATTGAACGTATTAAAAAAATCCACTTATAAATAGGTGACACAATTTTGATAGATACATTGTTTTTCTTTTTAAAACCCACACTGCACTTTTTTTAATTTAAAGAGATGTTCAAAATGTCGTCTTCCACTTTCCACACAAGCTTCATTACGACGAACCTATTTTTTATTACTCTAGGTCCTCGAAGTTGTCCATTTATTATTTCAGCCGCATTAACATTTTTTTCGTGAAGTTGTGCTTCAGTTGTTATTGGACCAGCCCCATAAACCATCTCTCTAAAAATGTGTGGT